AAGTTGTCGTTGTTATGTAATTAAAAAAATAAGGGATACTGTATCCTTTCATATATTGAAACTAACGTATTTTAGCCTGGCGCACTCAGTTCTTCAGTACTGCTTAATATTTTATATCTCAAAAAAAAATACTACGAACTATGTTTAAAGTATCAACAACTACATCATGTAAGCCACTGTTTATAAAAGCTAACATCTTAACTATTTTTAGCCTATATATTTCACAACCAATAATGTATATAAAAAAACATGAGTAAACATTCCGTAGGAATGCTGATCTACATCCACATAACACACGCTTAAAGAATAACATACATACGCCTTTTTCCCGCCTGAGAGTCGCACAGCATGCTCCTAGCTACATTGAGATCAAAAGTTTAGTGAAATGTCGGTGACACATAAGATGCATCTTGGCACTCTTAAATGCTTTGAACAAAATCTAAAAACATTTCTAGTTATCTATACTTTTTACAATATTGTAGAATTTTTAAATTTTTAATATTTGTCTTGTAATGTATTTTTTTAATATAAATTTTAATATGTTACTAAACTTTTAATGTGTGTGTATTATATGTTATTCAAGTAACGAAAAAATCATCACAAATGTTATGGCGACAGAAGACAATAAGAATATCGTACCTTTATTGAACAGAAGAGAAAAACATACAAAAACACTCCTAGTAGACAGGGAATTAATACACCTTCTGTGTTCCGTTATCGCAGAGAACGTGCACCTCTCAAGAAATATTTTCTGAGTGATATCACCATTTGAAGAATGCATAGAGATTTTATTACAGTTTATCCAAATATAAAGTGTTTGTATGAACCGTAAGGAAAATGTATATCTAAGGATTTAAATATTTCGTTTGCATCCTTGGGCCATGAAGAGTGCGAACTGTGCAAGAGTTTTATGCTTCACAATCCTGAACATACCGAACAGTCAATATCGGAGGACTGTAGTAACTATAGCTTTTGTAAACAACACAAAAAAAATCCTAAGAAAGCACGTGTAAAGTGCAGGGCTGATGCAAAGTATGATGATCCATCAAGAACAGTTTGTGTTTCAGCTGATTTGGAGGAGGTGATTATGTTGCCCCGAATTGATATGTTTAAAAAAGTCCAAAGAATTATAGTTTTTAACGAAACTTTTGTGGTCGTCGGAAAGAAACAAAAAATCAAATCCTTTGAGTGTCTCTGGAATAAATGTATACCAGGAAAAAACGGAAGACTTGATAAGTACATTTCACGCATTTATGTTGCACATGCGTGATGTAGAACATATAATCATTTGGTTTGACAACTACGCGGACCAAATCAACAATTGGGCACCGTTTTCATACTTATACTTATCAATTACCTTCAGATATTTTAAACCTTTATGTCAGCTGACACCTTTCACCATCAAATGGGACAGTCGTTGCACAAAATGAAAAAGGTTTATGACTTGGTGATTTTGTGTCTTCCGTTTAGTCAGCTAATTCCGGAAAGGCTAAGATCAAAGAAAAGTAGCTGAAGGATTTTTTGTTTGGACTGACAACTTATCAATTTATACAAAATAAACCAAACAACAGATTGCCGAGAAAGGCCTTGGATGGTAAAATGCAGGGCAGAAGACCAAAGGGAAGACCACGTAATAGATGGGAGAATGAAGTCACAGCAGATGCGCACAACTTATTGAACGTCAGAGCTTGGAGACGAGTGGCGCGGGATCGCCTTTGTTGGAGGCAGAAGTTACAGGAGGCCAAGGCTCAATTTGGGCTGTAGCGCCATTGGAAGAGAAGATGTAGCGTTTTATATTTAATGTCTAAATAATAATATAAATTCGATTCTATATAGTACGCCCCTGGTACACTAGAAATGTGTTGTCTGTAGAGATTTTTAAATACGCAATAATTCTTCAATAAATAAAAACGTATTTGCTAAAGAAAACAATTTATGGCTTTTTAACTTCAACGTTCCCAGAAAAATATTGCAACCTTGGTATTATTTTTTTCTGAAGCGCAGTAACGCCGGAAGTTTTTAACGAGTTTTAGTAAAGAATTTGTTGATTGGACAAGATGGAATGGTTTTGTGCGGGGAAAAGAGGCGGTTACTATCCGCAGATTAAGATCGAGAGGGTGAGCGAGGAGTGATGAAGAATTGCTCGCAGCGAAAGGTCGTTTTAATTGTGATGTGGTAAGCCGGCATTCATTCGCCAAAATGGTGGAATTTTCACTCTAAGTAATATGTCGTTTCTAAAAGAGTGACCAGTAACCACTGTTTTTATTTTGGCTGAAGATTTATGATGTTTGAGCAGTGAACAAGTTTAGTTCCTGCTTTGTTTTTCGTTTTTTGAGAAATCCAGTTCCTTTCCGAGATGCCCTTTTTACCTCATGTAGAATAATATTGGAGCAGTTTTGATTTGGATGTGCCAGTTTCAGCTTCCAATAGAGCTTTCCGTTGATGTGCAGTTAGATACCCCGCAGAAGTTAGCCAGTTGTTCAAAAGTTTAAGTTAACATGTGTGAACTGAGGTAACATTTACGTTATTAATTTTTAAAGTAAAAATAGACATTTTCTTTTAAAAAGACAAAATTTGCTTTCTTTTATAAATTATTTAAAAAAAAAAATATTTGTAATTATATTATGTTAGGGCCTGGTTTAAACTGTCATGTCATAATTTTATCCTGTTTTAAAAATGTTTGTTTTGACGTATGACAGTTTGATTTTTAATCTATGTTGATTTGTAGTAAAGATTAAATTTTATTCTTTATAAAAGTATATCCATAAAATTTGGCCACATTATCTACTAGGAACCATTTCAAAGAATTTTGTAACCTTTTGTTAACAGATATGTAAGTTTTTTGTCATTTGTATTTGACATATTTTGTCATATATAATATGCCTTTGTTGCTGTAAGTTGTATTGCTTTATAAGCTGTATTTTTGAAAACTGTTTGAGACAATAATAAATTTAGATTTGTTTCCCTAATCTATTTTTTTTTATTTTATTTAGAAAAATCTCCTAACCTTTTTTTTTTATTTTATATAGGTACTAGGGAAGAATTTTTTCTTTCCTTCTGTAAGCTAGGATCCTTCAAGTGGCGCCCTATAACAAATTTCTTGAGGTGTCCCCAGTTTATTTTTGATCTTTTGTCCTATCAATTGCCCAGGAGATTTATGTAAGTATTCCTTAGTTTCAAGTAGTAGATACCCCAATCCGAAACCCTTTATTTCAACTTATCCACGACCCAGCTCTCCAATAACCAACTGAGTGTCGTATGCACTTGTTTCGATTATTTTGTTTGCCCAATCTTGTCCCCCATATTCTTACCCTGTGGTAAGCAAAATAGTTGTTACAAAGAGAAGAGAAGAGAAACCAAACAACACCCCGACCCTACTTGAAAGAAATAGTTGAAGTTGTTGTTAAGCGAGATATCTTTACTTTATTTTATAAAACAAGTTTTGGTTCTAATGAAACAAAAGAAATAAGTTTTTTTTAAATTAAAATTAACCAAGTCTGGCTTCAAAGAACCTGTTAGCATTCTGACAGGTTCTCAAAATCAAGAGGAATTACAGAAGAAAGGAAGCTAGCAATTTCGCAAAATTTGGTTACATTAATTCCTGAAAATCTAAAACAATTTTGGCAGAGCATTTTCGTCAATGATGCAGATACAGATTTAACATCGGAGTTTAATGTTTGATGTTCAATAATATGTTTTGATTACTTTTTTGTTTTTCAACAAAATGTAGAATTAAGCTTAATAATGTTATAATAAAGTTTATAACTAATAAAGTTAATAAAATAAAATTGATTTTTGTTGTTAACGTGCTTTCTGTTAAAAAAATATGACACTAAAAAGCAGTAACCTCAAACTAATTTGAGTTAAGTACTGCTTTTTTACGTAATTTGTTCTTACAGGTTGTAATAATATACCTTGCTTAAGAGCAGTATCCGCCATTTTCATTAAAATTTATAAAAATATAAAAAAATAAACTGATTAAATGATATAGAAAATAACTACAACGTAGTTAACAATTCCAGAATCCATAAATATTTTCATAGTGGCCCAGCCCTGTTTATTAAAATCTGCATTATTTCGAAACTTACATTTATGGAGGTAATACCTTCTTGCTTAGGATGGCAGATTAATTTAATATTGTGTTTAATGTTTTAATAACTTCACCTTTCAAAGTAATCCGAAATGGATTGCTTTGAAAGGTGAAGTTATTACTTTGTTTAAGAAACAAATACTAGGTAAGATCTTTTTTATAGAAATGTATTGGTTTTATAAAAAAATCTACTGAAATTATCTACAATTCATTAATAAAAACATTACAAAGTATATGTTTACAATCCATGAGAAAGATTTTTTTTGTCAAAGGTCCAAGGAACATTGGAATAATTTCCATTGGTAAACTGTATCTAAAAAGATATCTTGTTTGTGAAATACATAAGTGTTTGGCAAATATGCATCATAATAAGACCCAACTAAACAAATAGGCAAACATTTTTATATATACATTCATTTTAAGAGAAAATTTAGGTATGAACTTTTATATGTCAATATGCAAATATATAATATTTATCTGAACTCCATTGATAATATTTTTATATTTCATTGTCAGTAAGAATGTTTTATAATTATTGTAGTCCAGAGCAGCCTGTTTGGGAAAATATTAAATATTTTTATCAATACCTTCTGAATTGTGTATGTTTGTGGTATCTTGAAGTCGTATTATAAGTTTGTAAAAGATTAAAAATTTTGAACTTGATACCATAAAAAATTTACATTTTTTTTTGTCAAAGCATTATAGTTGACACTAAAAAACCTGTAGACCATGCAAAGATGCATTACATAAATATGATATACTATATGTCAATAAATAAATGTAAAAACGGTTTGAATTAAAGTACTAAAATATTTAAATTAAATCTAAATTTTGTCGCCATCTTCGACGATATTTAAGAATCTTGGATCATGTTTTATCCTACACCTTAAAAAAATTACTAAACACTTACGTATTAACAAGCAAATTGTCGATGATGTGTTGATCCCTTTCACTCCTGATGCTCACCAGGTGGCCACCTTTTCGCGCACATTCCATTTCCGCCTGCGCCCACGGTAGCTTTAACCCTTCCATTGCTCCGATACAAAACTGTCTCAGTACCACCCAACCAAAATCGCACAACCCCACTACACTTTCCACTGGTTCCGCGCGGTATGACATTTTCAAAGCAAATGTGCTGCTTTTTGCTGAAGAGGATCTTATTCGGACTTTCAGCACCTGAAAAGATTTTACATTATTAGATTGATAGTGGTAGGTGGTATTTTATTTTTTTAAACTTTGTTAAACGCAGAGGCAAGAAAAGACAACTATATTTTAAATTTTGAAATATAGATTTCAATAAAAATAAAATAACAGTGTTATTTCGATTGGATTTTACAAACTTCTGCCTATTTCTAATTAATCGTTGCTATATCTAAGTTAACATATATAACATATTATTTAATACTTAGTCATTCCTACTAGTTAAGCATAACTCATGATAATATACTTTCTACCGGCCATACCTTTTCATATAAAAATTCAGCTGCTCCAAATGTAAAACCATTGATCACCAAAAACGGTAATCAATCATCCTAATTAAAAATGCACTCACATTTTAAACCAAACCCCTTCAATTATCCTTTTAGATTTATCCGAAACCACATCATTATTATCTTAAAACATTATATCAATCTATAGAACCGACTCCATAAAAAACATATCTCAAAATAATCCAAACACTTCGTCTTCTTCTAAACGTCTTCTAATACGTCTCTCGTAAACTTCAAAAACACATCTGCAGGACACAATGATATCTCACCAATATTCATAAAACATCTGCCTTTCACAGTAAAAATAATACTGTTAGACTTATTCAACACCTGTTTTTGAAACATAAATTTCCAAAACTCAGGTCTCAGGCAATTACTATTCCCAATATTTTAATTCCCATTAAATCCAATAAGCCCAAAATAATGCCTTCATCGTACAATCCAATTTCTCTAACATGCAGCATGTGCAAAGTACAGGAAAAAAATTTAAATGTTATTCTAACATGGTATTTAGAAACATACTTACCCCCTTTCAAAGTGGTTTTTGCAAGGAACAATCTACATTGGATAATCATATCTCACTACAGACCTTAATTAATGAAGCCTTTGCAAACAATCAAAAGATATTAGCAATACTTTTTAAAATAAAACGGGCTTTTGATAAAATATGGAAACACTTTATTTTAGCAACACTTAGTAGGTATGGAATTTAAGGTAACATGAACTCCAGTCGTCAGAGAGGAGAATGCCAGTCAATCTCTAAAAATCATGCGAATAAGCTGAATTTTGTCGATTTTTTAATTTTGGGAGCTCAAAAAAGATCTGGCTCCTCCTTCTCATGACTAGAGGTTAACACTACTAAGACGAAGTATATGAAAGTATCAAATTATAAAATATATAAGTAGCACAACCCGAAGATCTAACGATCGGAACATATACATTCGAAAGAGGAAGAGAGTTTATATACCTAGGCTCATAAACTAATCAGAATAATGCAGTAAGTGTAGAAAATAACAGATGGATATATCTGGCAAATAGAGCCTATTATGGATTAAAAAATTTTTTAACAACAAGCCTAGTTACAAAAAGAACGAAACTAGTGATATACAGAACTCTTGTTTAGCCCATCCTGCCATACGCGTCGGAAACATGGACGATGACAAAGAGCGATGAAGAACGTTTAAGATGCTTTGGGCGTAAAATGCTCCGACATATCTATGGAGGAGTACAGGATGGCGGATTATGGCGCAGACGCTATAATTTCTTTATAACTTTACCGCCTCTACCACAAACCTGATATTATTAGGTACATCAAAATAAACCAGCTGCGGTGGTTAGGTCACATGGAGAGAATGAATGAAATGGAGCCGCCAAAACATGTTTATAATCAAAGAATAGATGAAGTGAGAAGGAGAGGCAGGTCCAGAGCACGATTTAAGGATCATTTGGAGGAAGACTTGAGAATGCTGGGAGTACGAAACTGGAAAGTCAAGGCGAAGATTAGGTGAGAATGGAGACTCATCCTTGAGCAGGCCAAGACCCACCATGTATTGTAGAGCCAATGACGATGAGCTCAAAAAAATGCAAACAGTACCACTTTTAGCTCTAAGATTCTCCCTAAAATCCCCTTGTAGGTATCCAATCCGAGGTTAAAACGCAAAAATATCGATTTAATAAGAGGAATTTGTACGTCGTAGAAAAAAATTTATCAAATAAAAATAAAGCTGAGATAATTCGAAACAATAATGTTAATTGGCACTTTTTGTATAGAATGAACCGTTCTCTCAGAAAAAACGGTTGAAGCGACCGTCGATTTTGAATGTCAGTTGCGTGAGAGACATTAATGTTCAATAAAATTTGTATCAGCTAGATAGTAAAAATTCGATATCACTTGTTCCAAGTGTCATATCGACATAAATCAAAATGCGTTTTAAAGTTAGAGTTCAGCTAGGTAGCTAGAAGGTAGCTATAAGGTAAACTTAAATTTTATAAAGGCGTTAAATAAATGAACGTGGCACGATGTTTGGATTTTGATGAGTTTAATACAATCTACTGCCTTTTATTGACCAGCACTATAAATTTTCAATTACTAGACGCTAACCTTCAAAATTAGCATGAAAGTATAATTTTAAATTATGGCAACAAATATGATGCATTTGAAATATGCTCGCTGGATTTAACGTTCACATAAAAAACAGTCTAAAACGTGTAAATTCTTTTTTTAACATAAAACTAGTACGTTTTTTAAAAGAGCCCAACTTTTCTTTATAAACTACACCCAAACCGTCTTCTTAGAGGCTTTGGTATGACGTACGATCATTTGAAAAGTAAAACCATAAATTCTGCGTTTTTTTCATATTTCCAATGCTTCATGTTTGTTGCCATTTGTTGTTCAACACAAAATTAAAATTTCATGTCGTAGGTTTTAAAGATTGATCTATATAAATAGAAATTTTACTACGATTGGTCAATGAAAGTGATCAATTTTATTGATCTCACGATATGTTTATATATTTAACAGCTTAATAAAAACTGAGTATATTTATATATCGAATTATATATCGAATATATTTAGTATTTATCGAATTTTTACCGTCGAGCTAATACAAATTTTATTGAACATTGATTTCGCACACGTAACTGACATTCAAAATCGACGGTCGCTTTAAGCGTTGTTTCTAAGAGAAACAACGTTTTCTCTTAGAAAACGTTTATTCGTTACAAAAAGTGCTATTAAACATTTTTGTTTAAAATTATCTCAGTTACATTTTTATTTAAAACATTTTTTTTTCTACGGCGTACATATTCTTGATAAATCGATTTTTTGTGTTTTTATCCCCTATGAGGAGGATTTTAGAAGAAAGCCTGACGGTAAAAGTGATAAAATTTTTTGGATCTTTTTTAGGGTCCCAAAATTAATGTTGTCGGCAAAATTCAGCTTGTTCGTATAGTTTTCAGGGGTCAACTCTCGGACGACGGAACTATGCTTGCATTCATAAGAAAATTCCTAACTAATCGTTTTATACAAGTTAGAATAAATGAAATCACACGTCTCCGAAAATTCTAGAGAATGGAATTCCCTAAGGGTTCATTTCAAGTCCAACTCTATTTTTCCTGGCTTTTAATAGTATCATAAAAGAAATTAGAGCTCCTATTAAAGCCATTATTTATAAAGATGATATTGGTATTTACACTAGATCTAATAACCTAGTTTAGGCTACAAATATGTTACAACTTATGTTAACTTCAATACTAGGCATTACAAACTGGATTTAATTTTTTGGTGTAAAAAACTCAATACATCATTTTTAATAAAAAATAAAACTCACCATGAAATTAATTTAACATTAAGTTATTTAGCATGTCAAAATAAAGGATGCCTAACAAAGTTGGGGGTGCCAAGTTAAAAACATTAATTAACCTATACAAATCACTTATTAAAAGTAAATTAGATTACAGTTACATATGTTATGGTGCCGCAAGCAGGAAAAACGCCCCTCAAGAAACTAAACGGCATATAATCTGTAGCTTTGAGATTAGCACTGGGTCCCTTTAGAACTACTCCTACCAGTAGCTTACAAGTTTTAGCGAAATAACCACCTTTATATACAAGACGCCAACAACTAACTAAAAAAAAACTAAAAATAGCACTTCCTTGTAGAACGACTATAATCTTCTCACTTTAATATATATTAGCTAAAAAGATCTCTATAAATATGTGTAAATTTTCCACCATGGACAATACAATCACTTACCATTGACAGCCGTCACAAAATACCCCAAATCAACTACAAATCCGATCATTAACAAATATACCCCAAAGTTTTATCTCATTATCCTGAATATCTCCATAGCTTCACTGGGGCCTCTAAAACTCGTGACGAACATGCTGCTTTTTACTACTGTAGATGCACTACTCACAGTATATCCAAATCTACAAACTGTTGCATTATCACAGGTGAGACAATAGCCATTTTGGAGTTATTAATTTTCTTCAAAACAAATGTGTAAAATAAATAAACCCTACGAATCCAATGTTTTGAGCAATAAAAAATGAGTTTAACATAATTCAATCATCTTGAAAGAAGTAGCATTTATTGGGATACCGTTGCATGTACCATGTAGGTATAGCTGGAAATGAAAAAGTAGACAAACTAGCCAATAAAAGTCGAATAAACTCACAATATATAACAACATTAAGAAACTACTCATACACCGATCTTAAAAACCTAATTGAAGGTCAATTTATGAATGTATGGCAGGACTACTGGAAAGATGCAGAAAACAAATTAAATGAAATCTCTCCTCTTGTTAAGACCATTTTGAATAATCAATCCAAGTTATAATTAACTATCTAAGAATTGGACACACTGATCATCTTCTGATTGATTGCCAGTACTACGAAGAAGAAAGAAGAAAATATGGAATCTCAGACGACATCAAAACCACTCTAACTGTAAACACCGAACATGTATTAAATTATTTAAAATATTTATGTTCATATACGTCCATTTAATGTAAAAAAATCAAACTCGTATGTACGTATGTTACTTCACTAATAACCCTATGTGATTGATGTAGATTATATGTTTCTAAATAAAAAATATATTTAAATTATTTAGAGAAATCGTTAGTAATACAAATATTTGTCTTTATTATTGAATTAATGCCTCGACAACTAAGACCATTGGCATGGTACAGTCAGGTACCTAGTGTAGTGTGTGTGTGTGTAGAGTAATTGTCTTGATACTTAGCAAAGTCGACGTCATTGTCTTTGCTAATTGTATCCGAACGTCTGCGGTCCCTCCGGTGAGTACCGATCGCACAAGGATAGAAATTATTTTCATTCATTAATTTTTAATAAACAAAAATTTCTCCACCCAGATGAGATTCGAACTCACGACCCTTAGGTTTAAAGGTGGGCGCTCTTACCACTGAGTCACAGAGGGGGTTAATACAAATATTAACACACCATAATATTGACAAATAAGCAGAACTAAGAGGCAAAGGTTTCTTGCGATATATCTAACTATGACAGATTGGATTAGCAAAATGTTAACAATATAAGAGGTTAAGTCCATTTTTAAACTATTCAAGCCTAAGCAGAACACCGTAAGTCAAGATAACAGTCCTAGAAGCTAGTCTATATCTGCAAATTACCACATTTTATGTAGTTATGACACAGCTTATACTGAAACAATAAAATACTGACTAATTTTTCATTTAAATGACTATACGAGAAAATTAATTAGTCGGAGAAATTAAACATTGTGCGATATATCCTCATACAGGATAACCCACAAATTTTATTTGAAAAACGCAGCTATGTATTAGTATAAAAAATTTCTATGTATGATTGGATAGATATACTACAGAAACGCAAAAGGACATTTAGTTTTAATCTTAGAGAAAAGCATAAACAGGTTTGGAACCACAGTGCGTTACAAAACCTTAGACACATTCAGAGACAGAAAACTTCATGATCAAAGAGGAAATTAGAAATGTTCTTAGGGTTATGTTTGACTTTTAAACTATTTTTTTATCAAGCTCAATTAGGGAAAAAAGTTAAATTGTTGTTTTTTTTGAGGTGTACTGAAAATGGTGTTGTAAAACAGGAAGTGACAAACTGTGTATAGCTTTATTAATTTCAGTGAAAAGAGTCTTAAAATCTATATGGTTGTATTGTTTATTTTATGAGTGATATTGATACAAATGCTATTTATTCCTGACTGTAGACAATCTATACCAAAAGAAGTTAACTTACCACTCTATTTTCTCTAGAGACAATCTCGATTTGTTTTTGTCCATCTCCTGACTTTGTACAGTGAGCCCATGAGGAGGTCCCATCCTGTAGTTGGATGAGTAACCCATCGCACTTCTCCTGGCCGTTTCTAAAATCTTGAAAGTTTACAGTTGTCTCAGGAGAACCTGAAAAATAGGTTAATGGTAAGATTTTTTAGCCAAAATGTAAAAAAAGAAAAATTAAATTAAATTAACCCTTTCAGTTATGGTGGGTATAATTGTACCCATTAATTTGAAAGCATATATAATTCTACAAAAATATATAAATATTTCTAACACCAGTTAGAAATTTATATTCTATAAGTATTGTACTTCTGCGTTTTGTAACCAGATGACGCATGGATGGTTTTTACCTAAAAGAAAATTAAGGGCAAAAGCAATATGGCGGCTTTTGCATTGTTCGTAAGAGGCAAGTGTACTTGTTTCTTCAAATATCAGTTTAAATAAAAGTCAATTGCGGTTTATATTATAGTGCAATGTTGACAGTTGTGCTACGTCTGACTAATTATAAATATATTTTTTTAAATTTGACTTTTTTCAAATATAGAAGTGTACCTCAAATTTGATGAGCACAATCGTATCCAAAATGACCAAGTGTTATTTTTATTTTTAGAGGAAAATGGGTCCAATATTTAACGGAGAAGAAACTGCTAGAAGAGCTAGAAAAACCCGACATAGATGTGTTAGTGATGACAGTGACGGCGAAGAAGAAGCAAGTAAGACAGAGAATTGTCTGAAATAAAATGAATGAATTGAAAATAAAAACGAAAAATGAAAATGAAAAGGGGAGGATGAGGAAGAGGAAGAGGATAATAAGAAAGAAAAGGAGGATGATGATGAACAAGGCGAAAACGATAGCAACTATGGTAACTTCCTAACTCTAAGGAAATATGTAAAATGGTTACAAAATGTTCAATATGTAACACGACAATTACCTAATACAATAGCTCGGGTATCTAATGAAAACTGTTCTGAGGAATATTCAGTTACATATTTTCTGAGATATTTCCCCGAAAGTTTATTGTAAAAATTCGTTCAATGCACGCATAGGTATGCTTTGCTGATCTTGAGAAATTTGTACTATGTAACCTGCAAGGAATAAAATCGTTTTTTGGAGCTGTTATTCTAACAGGCTGTCTAAAATTTCCAACGCTGCGAATGAATTGGGACAAATCTTGAAAAATTTATATTTTTCCAGATACAATAATATTGAATCGTTTGTTCAAACTTTATACCCATTTACATTATGTTGAAAATCTGAAACCCACACAGAGCAACGACAAACTATGAAAAGTTCGACCAGTTTTCAAATCAGTCCTAAAAAAATGTAGAGAACTACATAGAGAAACAAATGTTTGCATATGCGAACAAATCATGTCCTTCAAAGGTAGATTGTCTATAAAGCAATACATTAATAACAAACCCAATCCATTGAGAGTAAACCTTTATGTATTAGGTGATGAAATTGGATTGATTTACAATTTTCTAATCTATCAAGGTATTACCACAGAAATAGAACCATTTTATTTAAAATATGGACAGTATTGCAATTATCAAAAATACTTAAACCTAATAAACATGCATTGTACTATGACAATTATTTTACGAGCTATACCCTTTTACAAATTCTCAACCAAAAATCAATACTTGTTGCTGGTACTGCGAAGATCAATAGATTTTCTAAACCACCTCTAACTAATGTAAAACAATTTTCAAAAAACGAAAGAGGATCAACGTAACAAATGTTCCAGTGATAATGGTATCCAACTTTGTTGGGGTTGGTACAGAAGATGCTGTAAAACATTGGAATAAAAAAAACAAAATGTTTTATTGACGTAAGTCGACCCAAAGTAATACAAAATGTAATAAGTCTATGTGTGGCATAAGTAAAACAGATGATCTTATTGTATTTTACAGAACAGAAAATCGTTGCAGAAAGTGTACTGTTCGACTAATATTTCATGTAGTTGGCATGGTTCTAGCAAACTCTTGATGAGAGTATAAACAAGACACGCACACTTTAGAAATTCCACAAAAAAATATCATGAACCTTCTACATTTTACGGTGAAAGTTGGTGAAGCCCTCATAAAAGTCAACTATTTCAAAAACCGAAAACGTGAAAGACCTTCAAACGATACGTTTAGTTTAGTAGTAGCTTCAAAATGCCAAAAAAATTGAAATTAGACCTCTTACTAAGGTGCATATTGATAACATTGAAAATTATCCACAGCACCTATAGCTACCTTTACTTTTAAGATGAAAATACTATTATTGTACAGAAAAATCAGAATAAGATAAATTTTTTCATTTAATGACAAAAAGCGGTACTGAAATGGTTAATTAATGTTTTTTCAACATGTTGTCTACTTAAATAAGAGAAGTAATTGGTAATACAACTTTTGCATTTAGTGAAAAGATGCAGACAATAATCTATTCAACATGTCTTAACTTTACAAAATCAACTTCAACAGGTACACAATTACTTTATTTAAATTGATAAATAGTACTACGGGCCGTAACGACCCTTTGATGTTTTTTTCCAATCTTTGGTTCCCATTTCTTCTATGTTGATGCGGATGGTTAAACCTTTTTCTTCGTGATCTCCCTCTTCTTTTCTTTTCTTATTCTCCTGATTGCATGACTCTTTGGACGTTTTTTTCTTTTGTTATTCGTTAAATAGGTCCATCTTACTCTTTGTGCTCCAATTTTCTGGGTTTTTGTGGGTCTCATAAATCTCCATTAGCTCCTGGTTTATCCGTTTAACCACTTATCTATTTCACTCTCGTCGCCTCCTTTAATTGTAGCTTTTACTCCAAGGTACTCACCTTCTGTTACCTTTTAAAATTTATTCTCTGCTTCCTTTATTCTTCCATTTATTTTCCTTTACATTTTCCGTAAAATATGTCCAACCAACCCTCTAAATCTTTGTGCTCCAATTTTCTTGGTTATTGTGGGTCTCATAAATCTTTATTAGCCCCTGGTTTATATTTATAATACAAAAGTACTCTACTACATTTTTACTATATTTTTACCAGTGTAGTCATTGTTTTCTTAACTACCCCAATTAAAAACATTTTGAAATTTTACGCTGTGCCAATAAACTAATACCTATATCATTTTTCAATATAAAACACTTGCACGTCACGATTTATACAAACTGACGTCACTTGTATTTAAAAATTCCAGAACATCAACCTTAGAATTGAAATTTTCCTAACATAGCTAATAATATGGAACCCATACGGAACTGCTCGATCTTTCATAGGCGTCAACATAATAAGGTGTAATAATAAGAAAACTTATTATTACTATTAAACTAATTACATCATAGGTGTAATAATAAGAAAACTGTAATCATCGTTATATTGGAAATTTTAGAATTATATTGAGTAAATAACCAAAAACATTTGTTATTACTAATACAAATTTTATGAAATAACTCTTTAAGTCTAATATTCCACAAAATGATAATTTTATTTAAATATATTAGACAATTGTACACAACTGATACGGAAATACTTCAAATTTTATTGGCAGTTAAGCGTGTGGCAAAATTGTATAAAGTGTTGCCGCTTTTTTAGAAAAGAAATTTTGTTTATGTGTTGATTTCTTACACAATTTGATCATAATATATTACATATTAATAAATTGTATTTATAAATACATATGAAATTTAGACTAATAGCTTTAAAAACTAATTATTGTTATGTATTGTGATTTGGATATGCCAAAACAAATAAATATTCTGTAGAAAACTGATAAGCATAAGATATATTATTTTGAACAAACAATAATGGCTGGACGTTTTTACTATTACAGCCCTAAAAGTTTAAAATTTAGATTCTATAATTTTGTATTAAAATCTTCTCTTATGTATTTTAATATGTTGCAGTAGTCTTAAAACTACGTGTATTTACTGTTAATATAATAGTTTGACAAATAGTTGATATTTTAAAAATTCCTCACTTACTAACTATTCTGATGATTTGGCAACGCTGTGGGGTTCTGACGACGTAAATCTTGAATGACGTGCAAGCTTTTTTATATGAAAAATGCTACATATATTTTTTAAATGTTTAAATATTGAAAATATGAAAATGCTTTATTACAAAAATTATAAATTTGTTATTTTAAAAACTTGACTTGGATTATAATAGTGAGTACAAGGCTAAGAGAAATCGAATACTGGGTCCCTTTTATAAATATAAAATAACTCAATTCAAGTTGATTTCAGTTAATATTAGTTCAGTTTATATTAGTAAATACAATGGAATTGTTATATTTAACAGAATAATTACCAGGTAAGAAATATTCAAATTCAAATAATAATTTTATTATGAATATTACATCAATTACCTAATTGTAAAGGAAGGTCGCAAAACCTTGCGCAACTATTGTTAAAATATTAAAAGATTTGTATTTATTGGGCACGTCCATAGACCTAAGCAAAGTATACCGCCAGTCAAGAAGTGAGAGCTGCAGTCTTAATCGGATTTTATGTTGATACCTCTTCACTATTACTTAACTTTGGCAATAAATCGCAAATAAAGCGCCTTCTGTTCTTAAGTATGTTTTATGCTGAGTACAAAAGTTTTTAAGTAATTTTTAATAGTAAATACCAGTGCACATTCCCATTCAACAAACCCTAGGGATTGTTTGTATAACATAATTAATGTAGCAAGGGAAGCTTGTGCGAAAATTCGTATTAGATTAGATGCTGCATGAGATATTTTTAATTATTTTATCGACACATGTAAAACGAATATAAAGAAATTTTTAAAAATCAATGTTAAATTTGTTTTACGAAACATAATCGAGACAGATAAAAAAATTTTTTGTTACTAGTAATTTTATACTAAAATTATTAATTAAAACTATTTTAATATTTGGCGATCTGTTGGAACTAAAATTTGCTTGTCAATGTTTTTCTAAAACGATCATACGTTGACCGAATGTTACTTTTGCCCAAATGAATTACTCTACCAGCATCTAATTCAGGGGTGTCCAACTTGCAATGCCTCAAGGGCCAAAACTAAAACCTTGCATGTTGTCGCGGGCCATATAATAATTTTGTTACAAGTAATAACAAAATAAAGTGAGGTATAAAAATAATTAAAACAAAAAAGAGTATTATTTCTTTTATTGCTCAACAACTATATTTTTTTATAAACGGAAAATTTATTGATAACACTTTTCAATAATAAAGACAAACATTGCAAAAGCAACGAAAAAGATGTATCCAATTAGTGTGAGGACTGTGGTCGATCGGCTTCATCCACCAATGAAGAAATGTCCACCTCCAGTTCAGTTGTAGATACTCTCATAAGATGACTTAAGGAAGAATTGGTAAGGTTGCTTCTGTTTTTATTTTTTATGTATTTCATGGAGGAAAAGGCACTTTCACATGTATAAGTGCTTCCAAACATTGACGTCATTTTCAGTCCAAAATCTCGCAGGTTTGGGAATTTCTCCTTTGACAATAATTTGAAAAATTCAGGTCCCTTTTCTTGTCTGGTGATTAGGAATATGTCTGCTTGAAGATCACATAACTCAAGCTGTAAGTTGGGTGGTTGATCATCAATGGTTGCTCCAAGAGGGTTATTATAAAGTACTACACTACTTTTGAGACTTTCAATTTCTTCAAATCTTGTATTGAATTCATCAATAACTTGTTCAATTTGTGAAATGCAGGATGAAAACTCAATATTTTCCTTACCGTTGAATTCTTCTGCTATTTGCAGACAGCTAGGGAAGTGTGTCAGGTTGTTATTTTCCAAAGCACGTACAAACACGTTCAGCTTATTCCGGAATCCGTTTATCATTCCGATCAAATCTGAAACCGTCTGGTTTCTTCCTTGAAGACTCAAGTTTAACATGTTAAGATGATTAGTCAGATCTGTTATAAAAGCTAACTGTCTTAAGAATTCTAGATCCTTAAACTTCTCTTCCAGTTCAGTTGTGTCAGATGAAACGTATTTGTTGAGGAATGCAGGGATTTCCTTTCTTATGGCAAAAAATCGTTCCATGCACTTTCCTGCACTCAGCCACCTTACATGGTTGTACATTAGCAAGTCTCCATACTCAGCCTCTGTTTCCACTAAAAACTGCTTAAGTTGTCTGTGTAAAAAAGAGATCGATTTCCACCTCTAATCATATTTATAATCTTAATCACGGTTTGGAAAACTTGAACTTCCTTGACTGATTTTCCACATAAAGCTCCCTGGTGTATAATACAATGAATTGTTGGGCAAGTGACACCATTCTCTCGAAGCAGACCCACTAATCCAATTTTTTTACCTGTCATTGATGGGGCCCCGTCTGTTGCTATGGCTGAACATTTATCAAAGCGTCCAATTCTGTCAACTGTTTTCTTCACAGCCTCATAGATGTCTTTTCCTTTCGTTGTTCCATAAAGAGGACAAATATCAAATAACTCCTCTTTACTGGTAAAATCATCAAAAGTAGTGCGCACAAATATTAACAGCTGACTAACATCGGTTTGATCAGTGCTTTCATCCAAACAAAGTGAGAAATATGAACTTTTCTTAACCAGGCTAAGCATAGATTTTTCTACTTGCTCAACCATAGCAACAATCCTTCTTTGTATGGTTTGATGTGAAAGTGGCACTGACTCAAATTTCTCCGCCATTTTAGAATCACCGAAAGCTTTGGCCATTTCAACAGCACATTTTTTTATCAAATTGCCATCAGTGAAAGGTTTTCTTGTCTTTGCCAGCTCAAGCGACACGGCATAAGATGCATGCAAAGAATGCGTTTGAGAGTGTAATATTTTACTGAACATACCAGTTTGCTGTTTAAGCTTTTTCTTCAAATCTGCAACTAGCGCACGCCGACTTTCATTTGTGTACGTAGCATGCTTATTTTCATGCACTGTTGTGTAATGTCTTCTCACATTATATTCTTTAGGGACTGAAACGACATTCATGCACACTAAGCACTGCAACTTTCCATTATTGTTAGCAATCAAGTAATCACTCTCCCAACTTTCTTTATAAATTCTGTTCTCACTATCAATTTTCCGTTTTATTGGTTTTACGCTCATTATTGTATAAGAGGAAGCAAGACAAATAATTAATCAAGTTCACTGTTAGTTAGTAGCACACTGGCACGATAGCAGAGAACTACGAACACTGCGTTCGTAGTTCTCTGACGATAGCGGCTGCCGACGGATGGTAAGCAGTGGTAGGTGTGGCCTGCGTGAACTGTGATGCACAGTAATCAGTGCAGTTCTCATAGTGGTGGAGGACGATTGTGTTCGGTACACGTCCGCGAAGCGGCACGTTGTACAGTACTTGTGATGTAAAAACACAGCTAAACCATAAAATATAAAATAAATTAAAAAATCTGTTTTTACAGTGGCATTTAAAGAAAAAATATGCTTTTCGAAAATCTTACGTGGGCCACAACAAATAGCCTCGCGGGCCGGATTCGGCCCGGGGGCCGCCAGTTGGACAACCCTGCTAATTCATAACACGACCCTACCAATTCGCTCGTAGCTTCTTTATGCCATAATTTTTGTTAATATATATTTTTGTATAATCTTTTAGTTTTTTGTAATGATGGTAAAATAGATGTAAATAGAGGTAAAACTGATAACAGTTTCAATATGTAACCGATATTCGGTAAAATAATAATATTAAAAGACATTAGTAAATTTTTGCCAGACACATGCATAGCTTTATAAATCTGATACTGAAAACTTTCATGAGCGTGTATAGGCACAGTATATTGCTTAAAAAGAATGTTAGACTTATACCCTTTGTTTATCCTATATGTAACAATACCTTATCCGTGGTCTAGTATTGTTTGTCTGACGGACATTGACGGACCCCTAGACAAGAAGCGTGTCCTTGTATTTTCCTTCGCCGTGTTCTTCTATTAATTATCCGTCTATTTCGTTTTAGGGATATCGCTGTGCATTTGTATATATATATTTTATATATATATATATATATATATATATATAATATATATATATATATATATATATATATTGTACAATAAATAATTTACTGCTATGTGATTCTATTCCTGAATGGTTGTCTAATCGTATCATATCAATAAAATAAAAATAAATAATAAGTTATTGTTTATAATAAAGTTTTATGACCATTCATTATCAATGTTTCGTTTTCGATACTTTGGCGTGATTCATTAAGTAAATGCAACAGAGCGATTTTTTAGTGGCATCAAAAAGTATTTTATTATTGTAACAAAAAAAAGCAAGTTACATACTTAATGGTTGAACCTTTTATTTAGTTTAGTAATATTATAATTTGTATCCCAACGAGTTCTTAGTATTGAAATTTTTAAATATTATATAAATATGGCGAACATGTTTATATTTAAACTTCTCTGAATATGATATGATACTTTCTATTCAAAAACTTTAAGCAATAGTAGAAAAGGATTCCGATTTAAAGGAAGCAAATTAAATAGATGCGGTGTATGTATCTCCCAGAGTTGATACGCTAACTTTTGAAGAAGAAGATCTTATGCATGCGAAAGGAAATGCAACTGGATTATCCGAACATTTAAGATTTACACAAAGTGCAGAGATCAAACTGAAAGCTTGACGGAAGTAGTCGCTGAATCATCTACTAGACGCTGTAAGAGAAGAAAAGTTTCGTCTCAAAAAGTACGCGACAATCCTATCACGACAGTCCTATCCTAAACGAAGACTGTTAAAGCCTAATTTTTTTTACTTACCTGTAGCTTCATTATCTCCTATCCATAACTTAAGAGCCACTCTATTCCCATAGGGAAGATGAATCTTGAAAGTGCACAACAACTCTCCTTTTGGGTTCAACTCGAAGGAACCGTTTCGTGTCAAAAACGTAATATTATAGCAGTAGTCGACCAGATGGTACGATATATAAAAAACTGGTTGTCCCTGCAAATGCATAGCTGGTCTGGTGTGTACCCAGGTGGATGACGATAAAGGCGAAGGAGCAGGGAAGTATACATGTCGGTCAACTTCCGGAAGTTCTTCGAGCTTACCGCAGAGATGGGTTTGCTTGTGGCTTTTTAGATTAACTAAAACAGAAAATTTAAATTTTATTATATAAATAATAATTAATTAGATGAAAAATTTTAAATCAAGAAGGGTACATAAAATATTATAAATTCCAAAAAACAGTAGTTTCTATTTATTTATTTATTACAAAGTTCTTGATTTATTACTTATTGTTATTATTAAAGTTCTTAATTTATTACAATGTTTTGCAAAGAACACCTCTGCCTGTTTTGTAATCAAACTTTGTTAGATTTATGTTCTGGAAAATATCCACAGATTTTAAAATGTTACTAACCTATTTCTGTTCTATTTTTCAAGTCATACTACAGCCAATTGGTTTATTGTACGTAATTACTATTTTGGTGATATCAGCTATAATTTATCAGTCTTTAATCAGTGCGTGTTGCCAGTACTTACATATGGTACGAAGACATTAACACTAACCAAGAAAGTAAGAAATAAAATTTGTGTTACCCAAAGAGCCATGGAACGAGCGATGTTAGGCATTTCTCGTAGGGATCGGATCACGATCAAGGAAATAAGACGGAGAACAGGAGTGACAGATGCCATAGAAAGAATTATGACCCTTAAGTGGAACTGGGCGGGGCACATAGCTAGAATGTCGGACAGATGGACACAGCGAATAATACAGTAGAGACCAAGACAAGAAGCACATCGAAGTAGAGGTCGTCCACCAACAAGATGGTCTGATGACATAAAACGGATCGACAAAAATTGGGTGCAAACAGCACAAAACAGAAATACATGGAAAAGACTGAGGTAGACCTATATCCAGCAGTGGATAGATCGGGGATAAATGATGATGATGATGATGATTTAGTTTAAGAAGAATAATTATTAGTACCTATATTTTAGCAAAATTATTAAATTATAACACTTAATAATAATAATAATAATAATAATAACCTGTGGGAGTTTTTATCAGTTCTTCTATCAGGCGCGGCCCCCTGCGAATGGGGGATGCTTTCTGGGTATTCTTAGAACCGATACCCAGAGGGTAACAGGAATACCTGTCGTGGAACAAAAACTGACACCTGGCAGTAGGTATAAAATGCAAACCCATGAAAATGGTGAATAATGATGATTTATGTTTAGGGTCGCTGCCTGGGGATCGCCAGGGCACGTCTGGAGCCGGCGCTGGACGTGACAGCATGCGGGACGTCGGTGGCAGGGTGTTGAGGAGGCGGGCCCCTGTCATACAATCAGCTACAGCCCAACAACAACAAGAACCACAAGAAGAACCACCAGTGAGCCAAACAACAGCAAGAGCTCTACTCGCTGAAGGTGCTGCGCTGGAACATCAGCCGGCGCTCACTCAAGCGGGACGACCGAGGCAGCGCATGAAATGGACTGTGTCTATAAACGAGAACATTTTGCGCTTTTATTATAAGGTGACAAACCTCGGTCAAGAAACGATCGGCTATCGACAACAACTTTATGCCGAATTTTGCAGGGAGTACCCAGAAATCCAAGTATCCGAACAAAGAGTAGCAGACCAATACCGGGTAATTATCAGAAACAATCTTATCCCAGAGAATAGACGCGACATGATCAAAAGCGAAGTCGAACGGGAGATCCATAACCTAGAGCAAGTTGTAGACCAAGTCCCTATTGAAATCAATAATGAGCAGATTCCTGAGCTTCTCATCCAAGAAACTCCACCTGATAATATACAACAGGAGAATAACGAGTTACACGATAGTCTGGTAAACGAGATGGCACGTGCCGTACAAGAGTTTAGTGGAACAAACCCACTTAGCAGACCACCGCTACCAAAAATAAACTCTTCGAAGAAACTAGGAGCACTGTTACAAATTGTGAATACTGAAGTCCTACCCAATTATATCGTGGAAGCCCATACATTGGAATATTTGCATATGCTGATTTACTGTGCGGCAACAGCAATTGCTAATGTTATGGGCATTAAGATCAGAACACGACGAGGAACTAATATCGGAAGGACTGAAAACAGAATAGCACCCTGGGAACAACGACTGCTGAGGAAGATTGAATTACTGCGTAGGGACATTGGACAAATTACGGAATACATTCGAGGAGTAAGAACTCAAAAAGTAGTTAAAAGAACTGACGAAATAATTCTGAACACTGGAAGACACTCACAACATGATCCAGAAAACAATACAGCTCGACACTGCCTGGACACACTAAAACAAAAACTCTCCGTTTATTCAGGTCGCCTTAGGAGATACAAAGTGAGTAATAACCGGAAATGTGACAATATACTTTTTGAGCATGCAGAGAAGTCTTTCTATAGGAAACTGAATTCCACTGTAGAAAATATAAATAAATCCTACCCAAGCCAAGAAGAAATTCATGAGTTTTGGGGAAACCAACTTTCGACACCAGCTACTCATAACAACAATGCTGGATGGATTGAAGAAACGACGAACAACTGTCAACACTTCACTAATGTTCCCTATGAACCTTTCACCACTGAAGAAGTCTCGAACATTATCAAAGAGCTTCATAACTGGAAATCTCCTGGGCCAGACGGAGTTCAAAACTTCTGGCTAAAGAAGTTTTGGAGTATACACGATCATTTAACAGTATTAATTAATCATGTTATTTTTAATCCGCAGGAAATACCATCATTTCTTACTCAAGGAACCACTTATCTAATACCAAAGGATCAAAATAACACCCAAGATCCAGCCAAGTACCGCCCAATTACTTGTCTTCCAACTTTGTACAAATTGGTCACATCCTGTGTAACCCAGCGTATCTACCAACACTGTTCTCTAAACAATATCATAGAGCCTCAACAGAAAGGATGCGCTAAGGGTTCCATGGGCTGCAAAGAACAACTTATAATCGACTCAGTCATTTCCAACCAGGCGTATAGCAAAAAAAGGAACCTTTTTACCGCCTTCATCGACTACAAGAAGGCCTTTGATTCAGTACCGCATCAATGGCTGTTAGATATATTGAAAATATATAAAGTCGATGTTAATATAGTGACCTTTTTAAAGCATATAATGACGGAGTGGAAGACTAAAATTCACCTTCAAATACCTGGTGAAAAAACATCGAAACTGAAGATATCCCAATTAACCGGGGCCTTTTCCAGGGGGACTCCTTGAGTCCTCTTTGGTTCTGTTTAGCGATGAACCCACTATCTCAGCAACTGAACTCCACCGACTCAGGTTTTAGTATCAAAACTAACAACACTGTTGTGGCGAAGCTTAATCATCTGTTGTATATGGATGATTTGAAATTAATGGCTTCCACTCGAAACCACCTAGACCAGATGCTAAAAACTGTTGAAAATTTCTCAAATGATATAAGTATGCACTTCGGTCTTGACAAGTGCCGTGTCTTAAATATAATCAAAGGAAAGGTTCAGCCCGGCGGATTCGATATGCAAAACGGCCAGAACATCGAGGCCATGGGTGAAAATGATATGTATAAATACCTCGGAATAAAGCAAGCGCGCAAGATTGACCATAAGCAAATGAAAACTGAGATAACAACTGAGTTCATACGAAGGGTAAAACAGCTGCTTCGTTCACACCTTAACAGTAAAAATTTGTTTAAGGCACTAAACACCTACGCATGTTCCGCGCTTAGCTACTCATTTGGTATTGTTAAGTGGACAAAAACGGATATAAAAAATCTTCAGCGAAAAGTACGAACGCACCTCACAAAGGCACAAAAACACCATCCTCGAAGTGCAGTAGAAAGAACAACATTACCGCGGTATTTAGGAGGTCGAGGACTTATGGATATAAGCGAGCAATTAGAAAAACAGATTACTAATTTAAGAACTTATTTTCAGGTGCAGGCTGAGACATCTACTCTTCATCGCGCGATTTGTGCAGTAGATGACACAACACCGATCAAACTGAGGGAACCAGAAATGCGCATAAACCACCTTACTAAGAACGAAAAAATGCGCACCTGGATGGGCAAGCCTCTGCACGGGCGACATCCCAATGAGGTCAGTCAAGACCATGTCGACAGTATAGCGTCGAACTATTGGCTGACATCAGGAAGGATGTTCCCCGAAACAGAAGGTTCACTACTGGCCATTCAGGATCAGGTTATACCAACCAAAAATTACCTGAAATATATCGTCAAAGATCCTCAGGTCCAAAATGACAAATGCCGATATGGGTGCCAAGCTCAGGAAACCATTCAACATCTTACCGGGGGCTGTCAGGCATTTGCTGCAACTGAATATAAGGAACGGTACGACTCAGTAGGAAAAATCCTTCATCAAGAGATAGCTATCAAACTGGGACTTCTTCAAACAAACCATCTTCCATATTATCAATATGTTCCTGAGAGTATACTTGAGAATGACAACTACAAGCTATACTGGGATCGCACGGTGCTCACAGACCAAACAGTGGCACATAATAGACCAGATCTCATACTAGTCAATAAACTAAAGAGACAAACAACATTAATTGATGTGGCGATACCCAACAACAATAATCTTCGTGTTAAACAGAACGAAAAAATCGCCAAGTACAGGGATTTGGAAATTCAAATACGAAGACAGTGGAAAATGGAAAGTACCCAGACAATACCTATTATTCTCTCTACTACTGGAGTCATTCCAAAGAACCTCCTAGAAAATATAAAAAAGCTAGGTCTGAATGAACATCTCTACAAGACCATGCAAAAAGCTGTACTACTCTCAACATCCCGATGTGTACGAAAATTTTTGGGAGATACTCCAGCATACCAAGTCACCTAGGCTCGATAACACGGAAAGAGTCCCACCAGAGCTCAATCCTTTTGATACCGTAGGTATCTGGGATGAGTGAATTTTCCCCTTAGAGGGAGTGTGAGCCGTATGGCTAAATCTGGATAATAATAATAATAGGATAAAACCTTCTCAAATAATATTAGTATGCTCTTTGAACTAGAGACCAGTGCCGTATACTAAATATAGTCAGAGGAAAGGTTCAGCATAGAGTTTTCGTTATGCAAGATAGCCAAAACATCGAGGCAATGGGAGAAAATGATATGTACAAATATCTCGGAGAATAGCAAGCGCGATAAATTTATCATAAATTAATAAAAATAGAACTAACTTCTGAGTGTGTGCAAAGAGTAAGACAGCTAAATCGGTCATATCTTAATGGCAAAAATTTGTTTAAGGCCTTAAATAAGTACGCCTCTTACGAGGTTAGCTACTCATTTGGTATCCACTCACACCAAACGTATATCACACTTTGATATCCATTTGGAATCATGACCACTCAAGTGGTCAAAAACGGGTAGAGAAAGTCTCCAGCTAAAAGTAAGAACACTTCCCACAAAGGCGCAAAAACAAAATCACGCAGTGCAGTAGAGCGAACAAAATTACCGAGATATAGAGGAGGAAGAAGACTTATGGACATAGGTGAGCAGCTCGATAAACAGATTGCTAATTTAAGAACTACTTTTTAGAGATACATGCTGAGGCATCTACTTTACATCGAGCAATTTGCGCAGTAGACGATACAACGCCACTTAAACTAAGGGAACAAGAAATGCGCATAAATCACCTGACTAAGCAAGACCTGCTCACCCGGATGACTAAACCTCTGTATGAACGACGTCTCAATGAGATCAGCCAAGAATATGTCGAAAATACAGCGTCGAACTATTGGTTGACATTAGGACAGATGTTTTCCGAGACTGAGGGTTTCCTACTTGCCATTCAGGATCAGGTTATTCCAACTAAAAATTACCTGAAATATATTGTTAAAGATGTTCAAGTACAAAATGACAAATGACGATATGGACGCCAAGCCCAAGAAACCATCCAGCATCTTACCGTTGGCTGCCAGGCGTGTCTCGACACTAATTATAAAGAACGCCATTACTTAGTAGGAAAGATTATCCACCAAGAATTTGCTGACAGACTGGGACTTCTCCAAACCGACCATCTTCCTTATTATCAATACGTCCCTGATAAAATACTTGAAAATGACAACTACAAGCGATACTGCGACCACACTGTGCTCACAGACCAACCAGTGGCGGATAACAGACCGGATCTCCTAATAGTTAATAATCTTACTAAGCAAATAAAACTTAATGATGTGGCGATACCTAGCACCAATAATTTGCCTGTTAAATACAACGAAAAGATCGCCAAGTATAGAGATCTAGAAATACAAATCAGGAGATAATGGAGAATGGAAAATACCCAGACAGTACCCATTATTCTATTTTATTTTTACGCACAACAGGCTGTTAAGGCCTAGGGCATTTTTTACACATAATCCTAATACTAACTAATTTCAATTATTTTAAACAAAATTTTAACTTAAGTATGTATATAAAACATTTCTAACTACTCTGAAGGACTTGGTGGACAATATTTCTCCATTCGCATCTATTTTCTTTTCTTTGTTTTCCTATACTTGCAACAGTAGATAATATATTTTTCTTTGTAGTTGTTCTCCAGGAAACTTGATTATTTCAATGCATATGTCATTTTTACCAGGACTTCTGTTATTTTTAATTTCTTGTATTGCTGTCACCACCTCCTCGTCTATAGGCTGCCTTTCAACTATCGCATCTTCTCCAACCGTCCATTTTTTTAACCATCTTTTCCCATCTTTTTAACTTTTTGATAGAATGATCTCACCTTTTTGCTTTTAAACTTCTCTTCTCTCTCTTTTAATTTTAACTTATTGTGGTATCTCTTTTTCCTTCTACACAGAGCTTTCAATCTTCCTCGAATTATTCTATATCCTTGTTTTTTAAACTTGCTATTATCTTTTAATATTTGTCGTCTGATCTAAAGTTTGGTTTTATTTATTTCTTCTTTATATTTATTTTTTTATTTCTACTTCCTTAAGTTTTTCAATGTTGTACTTTCTCTTCGTTTTATGGTTAGATTTTTCTTTCTCTTCCAGCCTTCTCCCACATGAAACTTTAACGATGTAATAGTCCGAGTCAATTTCAGCTCCTCTCATACTTCTTACCTTCTGAACTATATTCATATATTTACTTTCAATCATAACATGGTCTATTTGACTCACCGTCCTTCCATCTGGGGAGACCCACGTACCTTTGTATATCTTTTTTTGTTGTAGTTGTATGCTTCTCACCACCATGTTTTTCTCCATGACAAATCCAATAAGTCTTTGACCATTATCGTTTGTTACTTCGTGTTTACTATAGTTATCAGTTACTGCAGTGCACAGAAGTTCTTTAGCATTAAAATTACCCATTATTATTTCTACATCACGTTTAGGTAGGCGCTCGTATTCATCATTTAGCTGCTCATAGTAAAATTCTTTTATTTCGTCGTCCTTGTCTTCTGACGGTGCATGAATATTGATTATACTCCAATTCCTTTTCTTACTTTAATCTCGTATTGAACACATTCTATCAGAGATAGGATTAAAAGCTATCACTTTGTTCTTGATACGTTCAGCTACTAAAAAACCAGTTTCAAGCGTTCTTGTCTGTTGAAAAGCAAAGAATGAGGCAAGGAAGTATAAATCGATTTTATACTTCCTTGCCTCATTCATTAGTTCTTTTAGCGCACCTTCATAAAAGGTTCCTCTGACATTCCATGTAGCTAAATGTATCTTGTAATTCTATTTATAGGAGCTTTACGTTTCTATTACTGTCTTGTTTTGTTTTCATAATTCGTAATCCTTTTCTTCGCATTGTTCATCTTTATTTCTTTCCTTTTCACGCTGGTGCTTAGTTTTTTGCTTTGGTCTGTACCACCAACGTTTGGTTCATGCCATCCCAGCGCCAAATTTCCTGATCGGAATGAATTTTCTTATATCCTACTTTCACTTTTCTCCTTTCTTTTCTTAGTTCTTGCGCTTTCTGTCTGACATGTTTCTGTACAATTCTATCCTTCTTTGACAGGTCATTATTGACATAAGCTAGACTTTTTCTTCGGTTTCTTAATTTGATTTTGTTTCGCATGATTTTCTTTTTGTCTTTCTTTTCAAGTTCAACCAGATAGAGTTTTTCTCCCAGCTTCGCAACCTTCTCGATTTGAACATCGACTGCTATTTCTACCTGTATAATTTGTTTTATTTCATGTTTTAGAGTCTCTGGGACTCGTATGCCTTGTATAACTATATTTTTACGTCTTTTTCCATTTTTCAAACTTTCAAGCCGTTCTTCTATTTAAAAAACTACCTTATTTAGTTTTGTGTTTTCCTCTCTTATGTTATATTATCTTAACTATCTTATTTCTCCTTTATATTGTTTTTGTTCTCTATGAATTTCGCTGAGTTCTCTTGATGGTTCTTTTATCTTTATACTCACTCCTGTCATCATTTCCATAATTTTTTGTACATTTTCTTCCATTTTCTCCTTTTTGTTGATGGGAGATCTTCCTTTTTTGCGATTTTTGGTGAAAGCACATTGTAACTCTTCCTCTTGATCTCCTTTTCTTTTCTTGTCGTTTTCGTCCGTTGTGGTACCGTCGCTTTCGAAATCGAAATTCGAAAACGATATTTGTCCTTATCTTCACTGCTCATTAAAAATATTTTGTTTCACCGCGATAAAGCTCTTGTCCGGATCGTCTCCTCTAAAGCTTAACTGCCCTCAGTGTAACGTCTTAATTTATTTTCTTTATTTATGTTAATACTTGTATTGAGCAGTATATACTGTTTAGAAACTCCCTAGTTACTTCACTAATCTGTAGCCTTGGCAACGCCGCTTCCCAATCAATCAAGGTTCAACCAACTTCAACCCAATATTGGTGACGTTTTTATTGCTTATGTGTTTATTCTTACCTGGTATTGTTGCAAATTTCGAACACACTTTTAATGTTTTGATTATTATTTTTCACTATGCGAAGATTACTTACTTAACTTTTTACTTTACACTTTAGATATAATTGATTTACTCTGTACTTCGCGAAAAATACAGGAGCAAATACAATTTAATATTTACACGTTTAGCGCTGCGTTGCCAGTCCCCTATTAGTCTATCTACTACTGGTGTTATTCCCAAAAATCTCCTAACGAACATAAAACAGCTGGGTCTAAATAAACATGTTTATAAGGCCATGCAGAAAGATGTACTCCTCGCGACGTCCAGATGTGTATGAAAATTTTTGGGAGATATTCCAGCATACCAAGTTATCTAGGGCTCGATAACACGGAAAGAGTCTGTCAGAGCTTAATCGCTTTGATACCGTAGGTATCTGGGATGAGTGAATTTTTTCCCTTAGAGGGAATGTGAGCCGTTTGGTTAAATCTGGATAATAGAATAATAATAATGGACCTATGGATATAAGTGAGCAACTGAAAAAACATATTACTAATATATATAACATATTACTGATATAAGTGAGCAACTAAAAAAACATATTACTAATCTAAAAACTTATTTTTAGGTGCAGGCTGAGACATCAACTCTACATCGCGTAATTTGTGCAGTAGATGATACAACACCGATCAAACTGAGAGACCCAGAAATGTGCATAAACCATCTTACAAAGGACAAAAAAATGCGCACCTGGATAGATAAACCTCTGCACGGATGACATCCCAATAATGTCATTTAAGACCATGTCAAGACAATATAGCGTTGAACTATTGCCTGATATTAGAAAAGATGTTACCTGAGACAGAAAGTTCATTACTCACCATTCGGGATCAGGTTATACCAACCATAAATTACCTGAAATATATCGTCAAAGACCATCAGGTTCAAAATGACAAATGCCGATATGGATATCCAGCTCAAGAAACCATCTACCATCTTACCGGAGGCTGTCAGGCATATGCTAAAACTGAATATAAGTAATGGCACGACTCAGTAGGAAGATTGTTCATCAAGAGATAGCCATTAAACTGGGACTTCTCCAAACAAACCATCTTTCATATTATCAATACGTTCCTGAAAGCATACTTGAGAATGACAAATACAAGCTATACTTGGACCACACTGTGCTCACAGACCAATCTGTCTCCGGAGGCGTGTCAGGGAGAAGCTGACCGCCGTGCCGGACGCATTTAGAAATTCGGAGAAATACTTGGAAATTCTAAGTGTGGGCAAATCCGAATTTCTAATTGACTCGATGTAGGGAAATTCCACTTTTACTAAGTAAAACAAAGGATTTGTTTTATATAAAAGCAGACGGAATTTCTCTCATCGGTCAGTCGAGCTTGCCTCTTCTACTGTAGACCTAGTCGGTGCTATTATTGTTCCAACTAAGTTATTGTTTTATTTCTGATTTCCTATATACCATTTTTATTTTAGCATTATTGTATATTCAGACCTTTTCAGGTTAGAATATTACACATTGTTCATGTACTTATTGTTTGATATTTTATTTGATTATTTTGATTGATTATTTTCTTGTATTTGTATCTAAGCTGTTCTTTCCGGTAAGTCAAAGAACTCTTAGAAATATTGCTTTGCTATTTTATTCGACTTGTTAATTGGTGTGTGTCTAAGTCGTTCTTTTCCGGTGAGTCAAAAGAACACTTAGAAGTATTTTCATATTTGCATTATTATTTCTGATACTTTTATCTAAGATATTATTTCAGATTATTGACTATTTTATTTTCTATTTTTTTTTCTTCCGTAAGTCAAGAAACACTTAACAATATTTTCACATCTTTTCTGTATTTGATTTTCTTGTTTCTATTATAAGTTTTTCTTCCGTAAGTTAAGAAACACTTTTTGTACATCTATTTTACCATATTCTCTTGTTTATTTTCTGCTCTAAGTTGTTTCTTCCGTAAGTCAAGAAACACTTAGACATATTTCTATAATCTATTTCCCTTTTGCATTTCTTGTTTTATACTTTGAATGTTTTATTTTCTAAGCCGTTTCTTCCGTAAGTCAAGAAACACTTAGAAATATTTCCATATTTTATTTTCACATTTGCATATTTTTCACTTTCTTTTATATTTCTGTCCTAAGTTGTTTCTTCCGTGAGTCAAGAAACACTTAGGAGCATTTATCTTGTATTATATTTTTATACCGTTTGATTTATTTTGATTTACTAAGCTATTCGTTCCGTAAGTCATGGAATACTTAGATTATTGTACCTGTTCTGTTTTCTATCTTGGATCCGTTATTTCGTAACCGTTCCTTGGAACTGTTACCTATAACCGATACTTGTCACGATAACTGTTACTTTATACCAGTAGCGATTATTAACCCTTTTGATAGCGACAAACAAAGATGGTCAACACCCGATCAAATTCCGGGGACAGGAAGAAGTCCGAAGAGCCGGCGATGGGTCCCACAGGCCCAAATGCCCCTCTCGGCAACAAATCAGTGGCACATAATAGACCAGGTCTCATACTAGTTAATAAACTCAACAGAAAAACAAGGCTAATTGATGTGGCGATACATCGTTTCAAACAGAACGAAAAGATCGACAAGAACAGGGATCTGGAAATTTAAATACGAAGACAGTGGAGAATGGAGAGTACCCAGACAATACCTATTATTCTCTCTACTACTTGAGTCATTCTGTAGAACCTCCTAAAAAACAAAAGAAAGCTAGGTCTAAATGAACATCCCTACAAGACCAAACAGAAAACTGTACTACTCTCAACGTCCAGATGTGTACGAAAATTTTTGTGAGGTACTCCAGCGTACCAAGTGACCTAGGTCTCGATAACACGGAAAGAGTTCCACCAAAGCTCAATCTTTTTGATATTGTAGGTATCTGGGATGACTGAATTTTCCCCTCAGAGGGAGTGTGAGCCATATGGCTAAATCTGGATAATAACAATGATTACCTACGTGAAATTTACAAGACTTTTATTGCAATATGTAAGGCACCTAGAGAATTATTCATCGACGAAAGTATGATAAAATTTAAGGATAAAATTTAGGGATCGTTAGACCATAAAACAATATTTCCTGAATACTTCCATCAAAAGAGGTTATAAACTGTGGTCTATTACAAATCAGAAAGGTTACATACAAAAAATGTAAGTCATCAAGAAAAAGACAAAATCGCAGAAGAAAAATACAAGATTTATGGGCTTAGGGAAAGAAGTGTTGTTATTGACTAAAAATTATTGGACCGAAAATAGGAAAGGATACTTTCCTATTAAGGATTAACAATGGAGGTATTAATTTGCAACAAAATAGGATATAACTTATCATATTGTTGTGTAAGATTATAATCATTATATATGGGTGGTGTAAATATCGCTGATAGATTGCGTCAAGTCTACTGTACTAACAGAAGGTCGAAAAAGTGGTGATGCATACTCTTTTTTGGCGTAGTAGATATTGTTTTAGTCAATAGTTATATCATGTAAAACTCCATGAATCAGCAAGATAAGGTAACCTTATTGGAATTTCGACGTAGTTTGTCAAGAACTAATTACTTATGGAATAAAGAAAAACATTAAACACGGTGTGCGTCACAGTAGTTTTATAAGTAGCACCAAACATCTAGTTCGAGCACTTCCAGTACGTCTATTTCCGGTGTAAAAAGAAGACAATACAATCTTATAAGGATATTTTGTCAGAAGAAGTGAAGGATGTAGACAATGCGCTTCTAAAGCCATTGAATCTGGATCCTATTGAACTATTTATTAGGTGCTGTTTTTTTTGTATTGGTAAACAAAAAAATTGTTTTAAAGAATACTGCCACAATGTTTTACACTGTACCATAATATTACCACATAACATTGTACCGCAATATTTCTTTCCCACTGTAAACTTTGCGTAAGGTTCACTAATATATATTTTTTAAGTTATTCAAAACAATGTATTTGAAGTTAATATGGGATTTTATAAATGTACAAAATAAATATTAATTTTTAGCTTTCTTAGTTCCAGTTGGTACTGAAGGAACTTTCAACTCCCGCTAACCCCTCAACCGTCTCTCAAAGACATATTTTTATATCTAGTTGTTTTCATTTACAGCCAAATAAAGATTACAAAATCTAAAAATTTCATGGCTTGGTAAGCAAAGAGTTATCACGATTGCTTATAAATACAAGGCTTAAAATATATACTATGAAAATCCATGTATGTATTACATGTTACAATATACATTATGTCGATTATCCAAACGGTAACGACAAAATATTCTGACACTATTGTCCAATTCAACACCAAACTGTCTGTTAATACCCTGGATTAGTTAGTTTGTATTTATGCACAAAGTGCGTTTGGCAATTACGATCATTCTGAATAGTTAGTATATAAACCAATAAATAAATGATATATACGTATATATGTTGGAGGTAATCAAAGCAAAATGATAGCGGTTTCATTGTTTTTTTTGCTAGGTAGCTTTTGCTGGTAGTAAATGGTTGAAATTGTTGAAATTCTAATTAAAGTTTTTATACGTTTTAAAACTACTGAATAACTCACTATGGGCCTTATTACAAAATAATGCAGTTGGACACCAAATTATTAGCAGTGTTTTAG